CGCTGCCTAAGCAGCGACCTGTCAAAAAAATATTTTAAAAAAAAAAGATTTTTATTTTGAAAATCGCTCCCTCGGGAGCGATTTTGTTATAATTTTTTTTTTAAAAAAAAGCAAATTTAACAAATCGCTGCTATAGCAGCGATTTTGCTTTTTCCAGTGGACAAAATCGCTACTTCGAGAGCGATTTTGCCCTTTTGGTTAAAAAGAAATTTCATATACCGTTTTGGAATTTTTGTTAACATTTTTTACCCTTTAGGCTCCGGACTCATATTTTATCGGTATGTATTAGATGATGTGAAAAATAAACCTAATAGGTACTATTGATAAAAGCTTTTAAAAAAAATAAAAATCTAGTAATATTAATTAAACTATAAAAGAAAGTATTATAGTTTGGAAAAAGGTTACAATAACCCAACACAACCTCCAACTAATAATTTGACCACTCACCACCACTTTGATACTTGAGTCTAATTAAATGAGTACTAGAGAAAAAAAAATGCATAAACATGACAGGACAGGACAGAATTAGATAGAATATGATAAGCTTAATAACAAAAGTTTGAAAAAAATTATAAATATGATAAAATATGAACGTTCAAAATCTTAACGGATTAAGATTGTCACCACTAAGTACAACTATATCTAGATTAATAGGGACCATTATATATTTTAAGTCGGACATTACATTGTCAACATTTTGATAAGTTCAGCCATCAAATAATTACTAGGAAAGAAGCGTAATGAACAAAGAAGAGAAAAAATTAAAAATTGAGGTGACATATGGCTAATCTAATGAAATGGGTGGACTAATCAGAAATCCTAATTATCCGGCAGATGCATGTTGAATTGTATAATCATGATTTGATGACTTAATTATCTAGGATAAAGAAGGCTAGTCAAGAATTATATAAAATATATAATCATGATTTTATGACTTGACGAGGACAAAGCAAAAACGCGTTTAATTACATCACATTAATTTGAATCTCCTCATGAAAATTGAATTATAAAGAGTAGAGTTTTGCTTCAGAAGTGCTATCATTTGTTTATCCTTATAATAGTTAAAAGGAGGATGCATATATAGAATTTTGAGACGATATATTCATTATTATAAAATTGTGTATCTAAAATATAAATTTAACTTGTTTGATTTTTAGGTGCTTATTAATGGATTCAATAATTATTTAATATTAATTAAAACGCCAAAAATTCTACCAAACTGCTTAGAGAGGTGTTACTCAATTTCTTAAAAATAAAATAGATATAAAATTAAATTTTTAATCTCACATAGAGAAGTGCATCTAATCATCATCACATTATATGATACTTTGAACGTGAATTCACGATTTCACACACTTATGTTTAAATATTTTATTAGAAATGTGACACCATTATATATAATTTAGGAAGGTAACATGAGTTTACGTGAGTGGTGACTCCAGAATCTCCTTAGATACGCTCTGGTTAAAGCATCCTTTAATTTATTTGGATAACTACTTCTGTTTCTAATTGAAAAAAAATAGTGTTTTGTGGTTCTTCTTGTTCCTGTTCCTGATTATTGCAAATTCCATGAAGACATTAATCCTGAAAATATCAAATGATTTAACACATCAATTTATTCATACTTTATAACTTTGTTTTTCTTTTTCATTTTTTGCATCGATCAACATGTAATTCGATCAGTTGAGGAAAAAGGTAGATATGATCATATGATTTGTTTCTTTATCATTCCCATAATTAATACAGTAGAAGCTTCTCTATGTACGTACAAGGCTGCAGCCTTAATTTCCAATTTATGTGGCTTTTCCAAGAATAACAAGAAAATATTCCTAACTTGCCAAACTCAGTTCTTGTACACTACTTTTCTTCAAATTATGGAACTATAATAATACGTAAACTAACCATTTATTTAACCAGAAGAGTTTACTCTTAATTCTTAACTGAGCTCTAAATGGTTTTTTACTCTCTCTCTTTTCATTTTGCATGGCTCATATATCAAAAACAGATGGAAAAAACAATAAATATAATTCCAAACTATTTGAAATAATATGCAGATACCTTTCGTTGTACTTTGGGGATTACCGTTAATAACTAAAGCATATATATACCCTTTATACTAATGGACATACACATGTCATAATCTTATCCACATGCTCGACGTCGGATCGATAGATAAGATTGTATCACGTGTCCTTCCGTGAGAGTGAAGGGTATATATCACTAGTTTTTGGACATAGGAGCATTAATATCCCAAAAGTATGACGAAAGATATTTGCGATAGTTCAAAAATATTTTTTTCCTTATTCCCAAAATAGATATCTGATTTTTCTCCTTTCACAAATCTAAGAGTATTTTTGTATGCACTTTTTTCACTAGTCTTAATTTAATTTAATAACTATATAAAGTTAAAATAATCAAATTTCAAATTTCAAATATAATTATTAATAAAAACAATTTATTAAAATTATTTTTCAACGCATATATCAAGTAATATAACACAAAAGAAATAGCAAACTAGAGCATAATACGAGTCTAATTTATTTGAAACTAACGCGTATTACGTAATGTGAGTACTACTTTTTTTTTTTTTCAGAAAACAGGCTGAGAACATTTCTGACATGTCTCTCCTATCTTTTTTTTTTTTTTGGTCAGTGTGAAAAGGATTAAAGTAAATAAATCTTACGAGATGACATGATTAATTAATCTCAGAATCTTGCAAAACTCTTTCTTGAGGATAATGAGAGTAGGGGACCATACTATAAAAGGTTACATGATAAAATAACACACAGCCAAAACCATCTGGATGGTACAGATTTCAGATTAAAGCTCCCGCTATATATAGGTTCCGGAGGACTAGAGGGAGGTTAAGATCACAATGATCTCTTATATAAAGTTTTACAATATATTTTCGTAAGAAATTATATTTACATTTTAAATTTATAACATTACAATCACATCGTAATAATTTTATAAGTTGCATCACATTTTTTTCATTTCTTAGCAACTGCAACATCTCAACTTTGTATAATTAATATCAAAACCTTAGTCTACCTTTTCAGCCCGTGTACACACAGGACTTGTTTGATTGTCGAATAAGGATAATAATTCTAGACTAATATATAAAATTTTATTAGATATTCTATCATTTCTATTAAAATGATAATATATATTAATTATTTCATAATGTCATGAGATATTCTTTCCCATCATTCCATCCTTCCAACCAAATGACTGGCCCTTTACAATAGGATTACACTTGCATACAATTAGAGCGTAAATTTTCTTTCACACTATGATTTTGTATTTTACCATTTTGTTATATGTAAATGACCTTATTTATTAGCTTGACTACTAATCTCACATCTTACTCACAGTTTGAATAAATTTGCAAGTTATTGGATTCACGTAAATTTGTGCTTCCTCCTGAAATTATATATAGTGATATTTTTTTTAATATTTTATTAAATATAAATGTACAAATTCATACTCGAAGAATGCGACGATGATTGGGTGCACCTCTCGCTTAGAAATACACTTTTGACATTTTAATTAATTAAGCATTTCAATGTTGAACTTATAATTTTAAAATTTTAAAACTATTTTCAATGATAAAAATCTAAATATCAACCGATAAGATCTATATTTTCTTAATATTACACCAATTATATTGAAATCCTGAATATGCCTCCGTATATGTAGAGTTATTCTATACATTCACTACGTAGAAGCTAAATTCCTTTTTTGTTAATATAATTTTTAGGTGTGAGCTTGCAATATAATATAATCTCTATTTACCTTCAAAGTGTTACTTATTTTATTTTTCTTGAGATTGCTATACAAAATGAATTGAGTAGCTCTCTGTTCATAAAAAAACAGTTGTTGTGCAAGTTACTTCTAGAAACTGCTTGCATGATTATTTGTAAGTTACTTAAACAACTGCTTGCACAACTACTTGTAAGCTGCTTGCAAAGGCTTTATAAGCTACTTAAGGAAATTAGTTGCAGGCCATTTGTTTGTAAGCTTCTTCAACAAGATATGCTGTCATATAATACTAGTAATAAAATAAAAAGTAAATTGATATAATCAGAATACTAGTTTCCACTTTGGTCACCGCACCATATTTTGTATTGTATTGTTTTAATAAATTCATAATATAATGTTACGTATATTTAGATGATAAATTTATCAGAAATTATAAAATACTAGATAGAGCTATTATAAAAAAATAATATAAATATTAAAATAAAATTATTAAATAATAATTAAAAATAAAATAAAAATAATATTAAAATAATATTAAATCTATTTTTATTATTATTTAACAATAAATTTAAATAATACGATAAAATAAAATTTAAATATAGAAACTTTGGTGCAAGCAGCATTTCTTTTGGAAGACTGGGCCATAGGATGAAAAAATTGAGTCCCCATTAAATCAACCAAAAAGTGGTTTTGTCCGACTCATGATGATGTGGATGGAAAGACTCTTGACCAAAGTATATGGATGAATACTTTATAGGTTAATTCGGATTTAAGCTTTACCAGTTTAATTTGTAAATTTTTTAATATTGAATTCATTATACTTTTTAAAATATGTATAGGTTCATAGGTACCTGCTAATTATTGGAACTTTACTGTACTTTAACTTTTTTTACAGATAAATTGATGTTTCGCATGAGATATGCAAATAAATTTGAGTCCACACTAAATCTTTATTTAATTTTATTTGTTATTTTCTTCTTTTATTTTAGTGTAGAAAAGAACATAATTTTATTATAATTAGAAATAATTTAATTTTAAAATTTCTCTTTCATTTTAGTCAAATGAGTATCACATGAACATTAAAAGATTGTTTTGGAACATCAGTTTCAAAAGAGTTTTTTTTAAAAAAAAATATCATGTCAAGTTAAACTGTGTCATATAAAATGAGAAGAAAAGAATAGTAAACTTGATTTTTCATATTCTGAATCAAGACAAACACAAATTAACTGATTTTAGTGTGAATCTGGTTCTGATTTTGGTGGGGGTAAGCCTACAAGCTACATATCTTTCGGTTTTCATATTATTATTTTTTTGCAACTTTTTGTTTCTCCATAGCCTATAAAAGCTCATTGATCCTATTCTTTTTTTACTCTACAAAAACTTCTCATCCTCTTCGTATGGACTCTTTAGCTGGCCTCTATTTTTAGACTCTGATCACTCAAATTTAGCAACTTCTCAACTATTTAGAATTGATAGTACTAGAAAAAAAAAACAACCTTTTTTTCATGTTTTGACAAACCATATAGTGACATTTTGTGCCTTGTGGGATAAGGCAGTTTTGAACCTTTATTTTTTTTCCTGGAAGATGATTGAATTGTTCCAGGGATATTGCATCTTATGTGAACTTACAAAATTCAGTGTAGCTAAAAGTTTTTATTTTTGGATATTTCAAATTTTCAATAGGTACAGTTTGAACATTTAGCTAAATTTCATATTGTAATTTGTGTGTAGTTATAGCAGTTGGAAAAATATTTACTTATATGGCAGGAATATCGTTACCTCCCGGATTTCGTTTCCATCCAACTGATCAGGAATTGGTTGGATATTACCTGAAAAGAAAAACTGATGAACTTGAAATTGAGTTGGAAGTTATTCCAGTAATAGATCTGTACAAATTTGACCCATGGGACCTTCCAGGTATACATTCTTGATCACCTCTTTCTCTTGAAAAAACTTATCTAAGCATTGACAAATATATACTCTGCGAATTGCACTCACATAGATTGCATTAGGGTAGACTGTCTACATCATATTCGCATATTAGGGTAAAACTGGGATGTTTTGTGCACCGGGCTGTCTTTTCGTGGTGGAATGTCATTGCCTTCATGTATGATATTTTCATTTGATAGGTTATGTTGTTGGAGCAAAAAGCTAAGAAATAGTGCTTTTTGCTGTTTTCATGACAATTTGAACTGAAAAATGAGTTTTTACTTTATAGCTTATCTAATCTTTTTGTCTTGTCGCAAGATGGAGTGCTCTGTGGGGTATCTCTATTTTCACACACATGCCCTAACCACATATCAAAAAGAAAGAAAAAAACATGTCTAAAAGCATCTGGTTTGGTTCATTCTTCTTGCTTATTCTGAACTTAGTATTTTGGGATATTGATAATAATCATATCTTTGAGATGCAGAGAAATCTTTCTTGCCAAAACGTGATATGGAATGGTACTTCTTCTGCTCTCGGGACAAGAAGTACCCGAATGGCTCGCGAACAAATCGAGCCACTAATTCTGGATACTGGAAAGCCACAGGGAAAGACAAGAAAGTTGTATGTAAGTCTGCAGTTGTAGGATACAGGAAGACACTAGTTTTTTACCGCGGAAGAGCTCCTCTAGGGGATAGAACTGATTGGGTAATGCATGAATATCGTCTCTGTGATGATGTTTCACAAGGCACTCCTAGTTTCCAGGTTATTGACAAATCTCAACATGAAGTTTTACAAACAAAAAAACAAAACATGAGCATAATATAAGTACTATTTAAATTTCTTCAGGGGCCTTTTGCTCTTTGTCGTGTCATCAAGAGAAAGGACAACATTCCATCGAAGACAAGTGATGTTCATGGAGGTACAGTTTTCAAACAAGTTGAATGCAGTTCAAGCATAGAAGGTTTTACCTCAACGGTAGCCTTAAATGAACCCCTTCTACTTTCTAATGACATGCCAACTCCATCTACATACATGTCCGGTAACAGCAACTATTCAACTCCTACTAATTCTCCTTATAAGATAACACAAATAGAGGACTATGACTCTGCAAACCTCTGGATGCCTCAGAATAAGGTTCTTGATCCTTCAAAGGTATTGATGTTGTTCCTTTTTCTATGCATTTCTTCATGTTTTTTCTATGAACTTCATACTAATATCTTGGTGGCTGTATATAGGAATGTCCTCAAGGAAGAAGTATATCTGGAAACTATCCCCATATGTTCTCAAACTCAACTTCATGGCAGCCAAGTGATCAGTATGACTTCACATCAAGTTCATCTTTCCCGAATTTTAGAGGGGAAGTTGAACTTTCTGGTGATCTCAGTGGCTATGGCAATGTATCTCCCTTCTCAGTCGACGGAAGCTGCATGGAGTTCTATGGAAGTGGGGAGATTTCATATAAAGGTTATAACCAGAACGACTTATTGGGCAATCCATATCTCTTCTGATGAACATTGCGGTGTAGGATTTTGGGAAATTTTAATGGTGTATGGTCACAGGAAGATAATGTAAGTAGTTGATGTAAGAATCTACTAAGAATAGGTAAATGCAACTAAATATGCTACTGAAATAATCTGAAGTTGTTCTCTGAGACTACAGCTTTTTAATGTCTGTCTTAAAGAGTCATTTGATCTTATTACATCACCTTCGAGTTTAGTTTCCTAAGTTCAAATCTAGCTGATGTTTTGTCATTGAAGTATGAGATACCAAGTGATGATCGTTTTTTAATGATCTCACAGAAAAATGGTAAAGTTAGTAGCTGAATCTCTTGGATAGAATTAAGCCTCCATTAACTTCCGATATGTATCATTGTTCTCATTCTGATCAGTTTCCATGTATAAATTTGTCATCAAGAAACAATATTATGGGAAGTACTGATGTTCATCAGCAGAACTTCCTCTATATCATCTATTGATTCATCCCTTTGGCAACTATTGGTTGCATTATTCATAGCTATTGAAGTGTTTAAACATATGTGATCAAGATTTAAGGGAAAAAACATCATTTGAGGCTCTAAAAGGGTGAGTTGCCTGCTTATAACTGGATAACTAGCTAACCAAATCCACCCTGAGATTCAACTGCCCAATTTGCTAAATTTTAGTTTGATAATGGCCTTGATAGCATCACTTGTACTCATAGATATATGGATGAGATGCAAATTTCGACAAAAAATATGTATGGTCGCTAATTTGGACTTTGTTTTGACTTCAACTGAGGAACTACTAGTGAGAAGCCCCTTGTATCAGGCAAACTGCTTCCATTCTTGGCTAAATTACATGCATCAGCTGACTTATTACAGGCAGAATTTAGACTCAAGTGATCTCTTAAAAGTTACAGTTCCTCAACTTATTTTGCATTATAAAGACTATATCTTGATATGATTGTGATAGTTCCAACTTCCAAGTAATCATGATCAAGAATCAATAGCAAATGACATAGAGGATATCTCTTTAGGGAACACAAAAGTAACTCACAAGCAAAGGATAAAAGAAAGCAAGTTAGTAAAAACGTTTGTTGAACTTTGAATCATTTTCTTAGGCACAACAAAATAAAATCTAGCAAGACTACAAATGCAAACGAAGAGGTAATAAGCAGTAGCCCATATATTGGGAAATTTAAGGTCTATTTCCACACCAGATGTGTCAGTAACACCTTCAGGGGTGTTGATGAAACCCATTTTTCACAAGGCACCCCTTATCTGAAACCCACTGGCCCGACTAATCACACTGTTCTTTAACTAATAGAGTGGAAGGTAAAAGTTTTCTGTCATATTCATCATGTGCTCATGGCATTAATTCATATATCATTGATAGCTAAGAGTACTTCACGATATTCTCAAGACTAAACAGTAATTATTTCATGACTCGGAAACATCTGATGCTGGAAGGAATCAAGGTAACTTAACTGATGAAGTTGATAGACCAATCAAGAAGAAATACAAAAGCAAGCCACATAAAAGTGAGAATCAATCAATTGCTACTTTATACCTCCTTGGACTCAAACTTCAAAAGATGTCCAAACTATTCCTCCTAACAAAGCTTTAGAAAAGTGTAATCAAAAGTTCAGAAGCCATTAACTCAAAAAGAGAAAGAAAGATAGGTGCACTAACTGATTAACCATTCGTCTTTCCCACCCCCTATTAGTTCAGACATAATACCATAGGTAGATAGCTAGAGAGGAATCAACGAAGTGTGTGGCCCCTTTATCATTAAGCAGATAGTCTCTCAATAAATCTAGATCTCCTTTTTGGACTCATCTATGCTTTCTTTAATGTACTCTTTTTGGCCTGTGCTTTAAAATAAAGCTCCACTAGTTGGTCCCATTGAAGAATGATGAATAATTATTTACAGGAAATAGTAAACATCTCCATCAGTAGCAAACTGGGAACATAGCAAACCAAAAGAGCACAATATCTCCAAATTAGGTACTGACTTAGCTGCTAGTTCACAGCAGGGGTGAATATTGGCCATTTCTATCTGTATAGAGTCATTCAATTCATTATTGAGTTGAATAACTTGAGAAATTAAATTTGGGAGAAACACAGAACAGAGAATATGTTGCATCCATCTCTGTACAAAAAAATTGAAATTTACAGTGCTACATCTTATGACCTGGTATATAAAGGTAGCACGGTGCACCCGTGTTCATGCAGGGATCGATCAGGGAAGGGCTATACTCAAAGGGTCAGTGGCTGATCCATCACTCGAATCTGTGACCTATAGAAGGACAACTTTATCATTGCTAAGGATTCTCTTCATTTTATGACCTAGCATATTAATTCACATTTTTCTAGTCACTTCCATCACTAAGACTTGTAATTAGTTTTGACATCCATATTCGCCAAAAAGACCAAAAACTTCATGGAAAACATGAAGAATCAATATAAGCTAGCAATTTGTGGACTACAAAATACAAGAACTTCATCAACAACAGCCTTAGACTCATCTCCAAACAATGATTCTTTACCATCAGGCCTTTTAGCATAGGAAAGTCCCAATCTTGATTTAGCTTGCCTTAAATCACCCACTCCAGAATTCGTATCAGGTCCAGCAAATCCACCCATGACAGGAGCCAATGGAGGACCAATGAGCAATCCATCAGCACCAAACTGTGGACCTCCTCTAGCATAATCAAATAGAGCAGCACCACTTCCCCCTACTTTAGGCAACATTATTGGTTTTTCAACATCTTCATCCCAATAAAACAGAAATGCATCAAAAGTGTCGTAATAATCATCTGTGCTTCTGTAGCCTTCTGGATTAAACGCTCCAAACTTAAAGGCCTCTGTTGTGTAGCCAATGATCACACATGGTCCTTTGAAATCAGATCTGTTATGGAATTCAGTCGCACTAAATCCATCCACTGAGGCCTTATAGCAGCATTTCAGTTCCCTTCCTGCGTATTGATCATCATCCAAATTATAAATTAAAGAACATGCATGGAACTCTTGTCAGTGAAAGACCTAACAATAGGTTCGCGAATTCAACAGAATTCAATGTTTTTAGGTCAAACACTATATATATTAACTTGATGAACTCAACCTTTACAATTTTAATACTGAACTCACTACTTGGATGAACCAGCAGCATTAGGCTACATTCACCACTATTAATAAAAAAATACAAGCACGACAAGATTAAGTATAGATAGTATTAGCTACAAGGACAGAGCTAGAGAGAGCTAAAAGTTCGATGTAACTCATAGCTTTAGTAGAAATCTTGTATTTGCGTTAAGAAATTCACTTAATATGTATAAATAACTCATCCGGAACCCAATAAGGTACTTTTTTTAGAGTTCATAACTCATAATAAACTCAAAACATTGGTTCCACCTTGATTAGATATATATTTCAAGAATCCACAACGTCTAAATTTTGGATCCGCCCCTGAGTTTTTTCCCATTTCTTTTATCATGTAAAAGAGAAGGAATAGAATAAGTACCTTTCAAGAATGTTTTGGTGAGGAGGGAAGGAGGAAAAGGGAGATCAAGATCATGATATGTAAATTGTGGCTTATCATCAATCTTGTTATTTTTCCCAAAATTCCATTTAAATAAGCTTCTTGTACAATATTTATTAAAATAAGGAGTGGATATAGAATTTAGTATTGCTATGGAGCAACTCATGGCTGAAGCAGAGTGACCACTCTCCTTCCTTTACCTTTATTTCTCTTCATACATAATCTTATCCTTACTATATGTGGAGTAATTGTATATGAAACTTGAAACTTGTGTGCCTCTACCTTTTTAGCACAAATTAATTCACTATATCATATAATAAAAACATTGACATCTTTTTTATTTTACATTGTGATCTAATTGTTAAATAACACATTTTTCATTTTAATCGGTTAAAAAAAACGATTCTTTTTTTCTCGACAACACTTTAATCTAGCGTGGCATGTTTAAAGCAAAAGATTAAAGGACATAATGATACATTTATCATAACTTTAATTTAGAATCACAAGATAAAAAGTTCTTATCATTCAAATTCCATGTGAAGACAAATTAAGTCATTCTTTTTTAAACGGTGGAGTATTACTTATTTCCAGTTTCAGTCCAAATATTTTTAAGTTAAGTTTAAACTGTTAAGTCAATAAATAATATCGAGGGGTCCATAGCTCAGTGGTAGAGCATTTGACTGCAGATCAAGAGGTCACCGGTTCGAACCCGGTTGGGCCCTTTCTACTTATACTTATCTATATTTTTTTAAAGGAAATTATGACTCATGCAGTGGGAGACTCAGAATTTTTGTTCAGGAGGTTCGAAAAATATAAAGTGTAAATAAGTCTTTCGAAATGGGTCCTTTGAATTTTTTGGGTTTAAAACCACACTTTTGACACGCGTGCACCTAGTATTCAAGAGTCTTACATTGAAACATCTACTTTTATTTGTTATTGAGGGGATTCAAAATATATGCATCTACATAAATACAGAAAATGCCTTATATATATCATGTATTTTTTTACCGAGGAACACCCTTGACCTAACGTGGTTCCGCCCCTGATCACAGGTACATAAATTAATTTGAACAAGGTATATAAAATTGTAAGTAGTATATCATTATTTATAATGAAAATAATTAAATACGTATACAGTATCCCTCATCACTAAATAATGCATATATATCATTTGACTACTGAAAAAATGTAGCCACTAAAGTCTAGAGTACTCAATCTGTTGCTGTATGGGAGGAGGGGAACTCATTTCCCACTCTAGGATTATTATCACAACTTACATTAATAACCACATCATCATGACTATATTCCTTAAATTGCGCAACTCTTCCCAATTCCACTACTTGTTCAATAACAAGATCAAGTCTTGCAACAATCTCAACTAACAAAGATGCAAAAGCTGCAAATGGTAAGGCCTCCAAAAATTCCAAGCTAGTCATGCCTATCTTGCTTAATGTAGGCCTCAAACTCTTTTTATCATGGCTAAGTCCAAGACGAGCAGGATCGTCATTATTTACACTTGATAAAGAGGCTACAAAATCTTTACCTGATTTTTGCCTAGTGGCCAATGTGGCTAAGGCTAATAGTATGTTTGTATTACTATTTGTGCCGAGAAAGAGTCTTGGCTGGGATTTTAATGCGTCGATGAGGTCTTGTAAGGCTTCATTGACATGATTAGATGGGATTTCTGGGCAGTATTTACGACGATTTCGTATGCTATCGCCTAGTTCCTTTAGTGTCGTTGTCACTTCTCTGGCAAGTCGAATGCATGGATCTTTGAATACTACTCGAACTGATTGAGGAGTCTACAAAAATAGTGATCAAGAAACACGTTTTATTAAGAAAGTAACCACAAAAAATTACATTTAATTTAATCTAGAGGTCTGGTGTACATAGAGTGAATGCAACATTCAGGTAGAAAGTTTTTTATTTTTCCGATGTATTTCTAATTCTAAATAACAATTTATTGCATCAAACACTCTTTAGATTTCTAGCTAGATTCTAACTAATTGTACATATATATAATTTAATCTAGAAGTCTAGTGTACATAGAGTTTATGCAACATTTAGATAGAGAGATTATTTATTTTTGCGATGTATTTCTCAATCTAGAAAACAATTTATTGCATCAAAAACTCTTCAGATTTCTAGCTACATTCAAATTATTAGTATGTTTAGCCTTCTTTAGTGGCTAGCATCCCATATTGCTCTTGTTGACTTAGCATAAAAATTAGGCATCACATGTTGTACTTGTTGACTTAAAGAACATAAAATTTAAACAGATTTTTTAAATGTGGCAACTCTTTTGTTGAGGTATATATACTCTAGTCTAGAGCTAAAAGGATAGATAATTATATATCCTACAGCCTAAAGTAGACGAAATAAATGGGTCTAGCTAATTTATGATAATAGTTTTGAAAGTGATTGATCTTAAATTTTTAACCGTACTTATATTTTAGGTGCAAAACGTTAAGTTGAACAAATTTTCACTTTTAACCTTGAACATTTCTAAGGGTCAAATAAGTACACTCGATTTTCTAGTAATAGAAGTCTAAAGAGCGCACACCCCCAACCCCAAAAATAAATAAATAAAAGTAATTACCTTAATTTCAGTTTGCAGGGATCCATGTAGAGCTACTATTGTGTATCCAAAATGGCGAAGAACAGTCCCTAATTTAACATATTGCTGCCAGGAACTACTTTTTAAATATCTTGGCTCCCAACTTGCATATAGTGCCTAATCCAATTCACATTTATTTATTTGATTAATTCTAATAACTAAATTAAATAGAACACAAGACTTGAGATGATTAATTAATTTTCGATAGCTTACCAAAGTTTCATCAGATGATTTGGAATCTAACACATCCTTGTAACCTTTATAAATAGGATCCTCCATTTCCATTGAATTTTCTCTCACTTTTCCCTCTTGCTGATTAATATTATCGTCGCTAAAATACTCGTTAATGCAAACTGCAAGGTTTCATTAGTTAAAAAATCTCATTAATCTTGTATGTTACATGAATAATTAAGTTGATAACGTATAAAACAAATTTCTCCTATATACCTTCAATTGATTTTGCTAAGCCATCGAACTTGGCAACAGTCGATAAATGGAGGTCTTCTCCTGACCAAATTGGAAATATAAACAGGCTCATGAGGAGACAGATACCACATCCAATGGCTATGGTGTAGAATCGCTCATGCGCGATCTTCAACACACTATCAACACGATAGCTTGAGACTGTGATCAAGTTGAACGTCAAGAGGAATATCACTACACCATAATCATAATTTTTCTTTATGTGAGAGAAGAATCTCATGTATGTAGTCACCGCTCCTGAAGAATAGAAACAAAAATAATGTATCCACTTTTATTCAACGGAAAATTAATCATAAACATAAATAATAATTCAATAAGTGAAGCTTATATTATTACCAACTAGAAAAACTGCGGTCCCAATGAAAGCAGCATGAAATATGTGGCCTGATTCATTTGCAATACGTTCAATCAAGAAAGCCAATAATCCTGCTAATAGTGTCCCTAGTCCTCTATTCAGCCCTTTATATAATGTTGCCCCTAGATTCCAAAAATTACAAAAGGAAACTAATTAATGTACATTCATCTATTCATAATAAGTAGAATATAATTAACCAACAATATGGAAACTTAAAATATGAACGACTCCACTTCAATCTCAAACAAGCTGAGATTGATTTAAAGTTTAAGTGATTTAATAGTATAAAAATTCTTTACACTGACGGTACAAGTTAAAAGACTTTTAGAGAGAGAGCTAATATAAGATCTAAAATAAACTTAATAACACGACTAGAAGTAATATGAAATTAATTACCTGTCGTGAATTCAAGAACAACCACCACAGTCATGACAGCCCAAATAGCATTTTCTCCAATGCCTTTGAACAATGGCTCCATTAAATATAACAAGGAGACCAATGACAAGGAGATTCCAACTTTAAGTGAGTGAATAACCCTTCTTTTGTCTTCTTTCCCTACTTTCCAAATATTTCTACATGTTAATCTTCCCAACCTCTTCATTTTCTCCACAACATCACCATTATTCAAGCAGGAACAAATATTTTTTCCACTCAAGACCTCCATTTCATAAAGATGAACCACTAGCTAGCTAGTTTTATGAAGGCTAGCTGCACGAATTTTGGGAAATATATCTAGTACCTCCCCACCTTTATTAATTTATATAAAATATGGAAAGAAGGGTATATGTTAGAATAGTTTATATAGAAGGTGGGTTAACAGGCTTCCTAATTAAGTAAAAAAAAAAAAAAGAGAAGCAAAATGAATTTGGTGGAAAGATAAGTTTACCTACATAGAGCTGGTTTGGCAGTATATATTAGAGGAAATGATACATCTAATATGTGTTCGTTTAGTATTATTAATCTCTTATTTGATATGACAAATACACCCTTTTGATATGATCCTATGTATAATTAATAAATAGTATTGACAATATAAGAGTTGTATTTAAAAGTGTACAACAAATTGTAAGATATTTTTATAAATAAATATTTATATAAAAATTATGCGATATATGTTATTTTTAATTTACTTGACTAAATATTAAATACGAAAACAATGTCTAACATAACAAATTTTTCTGCATTACTAATCTCAAAGTCCAATATTATTACTACACTATATAATACAATATCCTACCAAACAATCTCTAGAATGATACGATTAAGATATGTTGGTAAAAGAAACACCAAACTAATAATTAACCTTCATATAATGAAATATGAGATCAAATGATTATGAAGAAGGAGAGGTCCACTTGGAAGACGTACAAAAGAAACCAAAAATATATGGACTAATTAGCCAGCTAATCTATAACATAGCTAATTAAATTATGAAGGTACGTGTCAAAATAAGCAAGTACAGACGGTGCCTCTGTTGGTAAACCAAACTAATTTGGTGTGTTGTGCTCCAATTATTATTTCAATGGGTTCAAATTGCAGGAACATCTTTGACACCCCAATTACAATTATTTCACGCCATTCACAGCGTTCAATGAATAATGAAATTCAGTTTCATGTATAAATTTATTTTTTAAAAAAAGATAAAATATGTTTTTATAAATATTATTACTACTTTCATCACATTTTATTTGTCCTTTTCATTTCCGGTTCCTTAATAAAAATCATAAATAAAAAAAAAATCTAACTAATTTAAGTCTATCCAATTTTAACATTTTTATTTTTTAAAAAAACTATTTCACAAATTTTTAAGCGCCACAATTTCGTTATCTATAAGGAGCTTGTTTTTTCCTTCACAAAAGAAAAATAAAATTGTCTTCGCGAACTAAATTTCTGCTAATTTAAAATTAAAACATTTAGATGAGTTGTTTTCGAAGAGAAAACATTGTAAAACATAAAAATAAATTTTCAAACATCTAGTAGATATTAAATAAAAAGTATAAATGCAATGCTTTTTAAAAAATTATACTTTTAACTTTTAACTTTGATAGGCTCGTTGAGAAATGGTTCATTCATACAAAGTAAAACACAATTTGATCGACTTATCTTCGTAAATAACTTCAAAAAATATATAGCTATTTACGAATAGTTTATTGATTGTCTTTCAGTCTGGACACACTCCTTAAGAACTGTTTGTTCCTATTTCTTGAAATGTAAATTTACAAACTTATCATCCTAAATACTTGAAAAATATATAACTTTTTAATAATTTATTGGTTACGTAAACATAACCAATTAATGCAATGCTTTTTAAAAAATTATACTTTTAACTTTGATAGGCTCGTTGAGAAATGATTCATTCATACAAAGTAAAACATAATTTAACAGACTTATCTTCGTAAATAACTTCAAAAAATATATAGCTATTTACGAATAGTTTATTGATTGTCTTACTATTTGTTCCTAATTCCTAAAATGTAAATTTACAAACTTATCATCCTAAATACTTGAAAAATATATAATACGTAAACATAACCCAAAAAGGAAAAAAGTAGACGTGGTCGGCAGGATTCGAACCTGCGCGGGCAGAGCCCACATGATTTCTAGTCATGCCCGATAACCACTCCGGCACGACCACCAGATGATGCTAATTCATGAAGAAAACAGATTCATTGATTTACATAAGCATGGGCACACGTTATTAGATATTTCATATGAATCCTAGCAATTTAAATATTATTGAAAAAAAATAAACTAAATATATTAAAATAACTTTTCAGGGCGATGTGGCAGCAAACCAGGTTTGGCAGTTGCATGACGGACATGTGGCAGCACTCCTAGAGTCCAACCGCCTTTCAGAAGCTTTGCTTCTTTCTTTACACACCGTATTTATAATTTCCTTGCATTGAACATCTTCAATTAATAAATTAATACTAAATTCCAATCAAAAACAAAGAAGAAAATGCACTCAGTAAAGGAGAAAGTAAGCAACGCAGCTGCCGCTGGTAAAGAGCACGTTGACATCCTCAAAGCCAAAGCCGAAGAAAAGGTACGCCCCAATATATAGTATTACTTCTATATTCCCATTTCTTCATATGATCATTCATTTGTTATTAGTATATTATTTTCATTATTTGTTGCTATCGTGATGTGGATTGGTTTCTATTTTTTCACTCATATGATAGATGTTAAAAGAATGATAAAAGTAGTATAAGGTTTGGACGATTCTTCTTTCTTTGTGCTAAAAATCTTTTTCCCTTTGAACTTTCTTTCAACTAAGATTTTATAGGTGAGTTAGACATAAAATCTGATCTCCTCCCTTTGAGCCACTCTTTCAGGGTGAGTTAGGCCTAAAATTTAATTTTAAGAAGGTGGACTTGCATTCACACTCTATTTTGTGAAATTATATTGAGCGTGATTTTAATTATTTAATAAATGAAGTAACTATTATTATCAGTATTTGAGGAAATTTTTGAGTCATTAGAGAGATAATATTTATATATTGAATTATATTTTGAATAAAATTCATATATTTGCGTTGAAACAGGCTGAGAAAGCAGTAGCAAGGACAAGGGAAGAGAAGAGGATAGCAGAAGAGGTGAGAAAAGCAAAAGAAGCGGAAGCGAAGATGGAGCTACATCAAGCGAAAGCACGTCATGCAGCGGAGACGCTGCAATCGAAGCAATCTCATCTAATAGGGCGCCACGGCCACGGCCACCACCATCATGCTGTCGGTGGCCAGCAAAATCCAGTGGTGGGTAGTACCGTTCCAACTACTGGGACCGTTGCTCCTACCTATCCTCTTGGAGGCTACCCTCCTACTTCTCATGGCCATATCTAATTTAGCAGCATCCTGTAGTAGTGTGTAGTTTCAGTTCCGTTCTCTGTAATGCCTTTGGAATAAATTGAGGAACGCCTTTGGTTTTTTTAGCTAGCTAGCTAGATCCATTGACAAGTATACATGTCATGACTAGTATCAAAACATTTCCCTTTGAAAGAATTATATTCTTTGTATTCCGCTTTCTGTCCAATATTCTGTACAACGCTCAATAAATAATAGAAAATTGCACTTCCATCTTTTTTTATATTATCTAAAACTGACTCCCCAGAAATAAAGTGGTTGGAGAAATGCTTCTCAGCAATACGGGGAACTTCTTTCGACGCTAAATAAATCACTTATAATTAATATATAATATAAATTCAAAATATTAAAATATTTACTTTTAAGAATTGTGAAGTAGGAATTAAAATAATGTAAAGTACGGTTAAATTTTAAATCTTTTATTATAATAATTTTAATTTTAATTTCACACTATAAACACACATAAATTCTAAATTCAAAAAGAAATAATAATCGAACTCATAAAAGCTCCAAATCATGTAAAGTTCAAAAAAAATTAATTTTTACTATGTAAATGTTAATTTCACTAATTTTGAGCTCTAATTGAACTACAACTATCACAAAATTAAAGAAAAGAGACTGCAACCTTAAAAATATGAACCATTATTATTATAGATTTACACCTTTTAGCTCTAAATCAAATAAAAAAATGGAAGAAAGGGTGTAACGAATGAGAATTATATCAGAAAAAAATCATGAAAAAGAGGAATAAAATGATGAAGATGGGTTATGTGGATAAAAAAAATAATGAGACTGAAGGAATATGATTAGAGTAGATCGTGTGGAAGTGGATTTATGACAAAAAAATAAAGCTTAAAAATAATAAAAATGGAGCAATACAATGGAGAAGATGAATGAGGAAGATGACTGGGGAAGTTGTGGGATTTGCATTTTTCTTAAAATTTGGCAAATATCTTATTTAACTTTTAGGGGTTAAAAATCACGTCATTTATTTATTGGTTACTTTGTCATGTATTTTAATTTTTTTTCTCTTTAATATAATAGATTTGTAATGAGTTGGCATGATATAATTGGGCATTCAATCCACGTGGACGCGCTTGGTTAACACGCACTTGAAGTCAACATGTGCTATTGAAAAAAGTGTTAAAATAACAAAACGAAACCTGACATGAGGTATCTATGTCTAATATGAATACTATCCAATTAAGGTATCTAAGTAAAACTTTATACCAAATTTAAAGGCTATCGATAGTTAAACTAGAAATAATTAGAATATGAGAAATCAAACAAAGAATTAAAAATAATTTTCAATCTTCAACAGAACTTATTATAATGTAATATTTTTTATGAGGATTTATTTGTGAACATTTGGTAAGAAAAATTATTTTTCATCAACTTACCAAAATTTCTGGGATACTTCTAGTATTTTTATTTTGGCAAGAAAGTTCGTGAGTAATTTACATGCAGCATTCAAATTTCTGGGTAATTTATTTGGGGATTTTCAAATTCGTAGGTTAAAGGTATTTTCATCAAACTTATTTTGATAGGAAAATTAGCAGAAAATTAAGTTACGTTGAATTTATTTATATGTAATTCGCAGTTTTCTTGTAGTGTTTGTTGCAATGAAGATCTAGTTGACTTGTAATATAAATTTATGGGTTATTTTGATAGTTTTTAAAATTTATGGATATAAATCATATATTTTCTGAAAAAGTAAAATGTATTTCGCAAATATTATGGCCAAACACATGGTGAAATTTCACCCAAATTTTTATCCAAATAAAATTTATCAAGAATATTTAGAAATCTATCGCAAAACGCTGCCTTGTTTTGAAAGTGTTTAAAAATTAATAAAACTGCTTTTAAATAAAAAATAGTTTTCATGTTGTTGGAAAGTAGCTAAAGTTTTTGCTTTTTTAAAAAAGCACAAGCAAAAAATTATTTTTACAAATCAAAATGTCCTTTTTATATTTATGTAATTCCATATATATACATTATTAATTAATTTGCATATATCATATCTTTGGTAAAAGTTTCATTTAGAAATTTTATTTTTATTACGTTTATTATCATCTTTATATTTAATATTTTTAAATTATATTTAGGTCACCATATCAATATTTAATTATTATTTATTTATTTATGTATACTATTGATTGGAAAACTTAATATGTACATTTTAATTCAATACAAATAAAAGCTTCCTTAATTTAAATAGTTATTTAAAATAATATTTATATATAAAATAATATTCATATTAAAAAGTACATTGATATTTATCCTTTTCTTGTAATTTAATATTTAAAAGACACTTTTCCAAAAAAATTAGTCAACACAATTTACTATCAAAAATAATTTTCGAATAAATTAGCTAAACACAAATTTTATATTATTTTCAAAACACTTTTCTGAAAAACTATTTCTAAAAAAATACTTTAAAAATTAAACAGATTTTATCATCAATCTCAAATATGCTCAGATAAGGTATTAAAATAGATAACATACTACAACTTTTAAAAACAAATATTTTAATTATTTATAATATATTTTTTATTAAATAGGATAAATTTTTATTATGTTTTTCTACTAAAAAAATGAAATTTGATTTATTTATACTGATCAACTGTATTGGCACGTGTGCCATATATATATACATGTAGTTACTCTTTCGATCATGAGGTAGTATTAAAGCTTAAGGCATTGATATGTTGTCGATTATATCTGTAAATCTTTAGAATTTTAACTTATATCAACTATAAAGAATATTTTATTAAAATATGATTGTTTATAGTAATTATTTTTCATTGGTGTATTGCTGATCACATCTGTAAGGGAGTTTGTATTTGACATTTAAGAACAATTACCAACCTTCATTCATTTTTTAAATCACATAAATGAATTGAGGATGAATCATCAAATTCTTTGACATGTAATTGTATACTTCAACGGATTCTGTTATATATATATATACCTATTGATTATTCTCAAAAATTAAATATGGTAGATGAAAATGAATGAATAAATTATAAAAATATAGAAATGATTTTTTAACAAAATCATAAAAAATTATATAAGGTCAAAGGAAACACGATCAAGAGAGAAATAAGATATTTTAAAATGCAAAGTATAATATGACTGAGTGATTTAACAACAGAAATTAATGAGTTTTTATAATATGAGAGAAAAAATGTCATTTGTATAAATTGAAATATCGCTCAACCATAAGACAACTACAAATTACTTTGATATTTCTCCACAGATAAGCCATTTTAAATATACAACTAATAACCATTTTTGGATTGTAAAATCTTAACAATTCAAACCAATCATTCTTTCAATCTCCCTTCGCTCCCCATCGTGAAACTATCCATTACACATCAACTCATTTGTTTCGCATGCTAAAAGACAATGAAATTCAGTGACCGCGACACAACGGAGTGATGTGATCACAATAATAGAGTTGATAATGTGATTTTCTTATTGAATTTGATTGATTTATAATTAAATGAAACTATGAATATGATGATTAATTTACAAGTAGATATTATGTTAATCTAAATTTAAATGGACAAGTAATAGCCCAATTAGGCAATTAATTATTTTATTATAATTGAAATGTATTTTTTTTAGTGTAATTGATTTATATATATATATATATATATATATATATATATATATATATATATATATATATATATATATATATAAAGATTAAAATCTTGATGTTCTTTTATTATAGGTATATATGTAAGTCAAAGTCAACAAAACTATATTATTAATTTGTCTACCATATAACACAAAATTAAACCAGAAAATACCAACCTATCGTGAATATCAATACGATAATAATATAATATTTTTTAAAAAAAATTTAAAATTAAAATTACCAGTCAAATATTATAAATCTAGTAGAATAAAATTAATAGAAGAAATTTAAGAGTTAAATGAAACATTATATTAGGGCCGTGCATTCGTTTTTCCAGTTTGATTTTATACTATTCGATTTTGAAGAAGTGTAATTTAATTCAAATTAAAATAAATTCGATTTGATTTGGTTTTTCTTTTTTTTTTTTGGTTTGGATTTTTTTGATTTGATTAATTGGTTATATGTCAATAATTAGAAACATAACAAAAATATTGCAATTTAAAATGTACTTTTAAATATAAATCACAAATAAAACATAAAACACACTAGTTAAAAGTATATCAATTATAGATGTCCAAACATAAGAAAATAAACTAAATACCTAAAAAAAAAAATATCATCAATCTCAAATATGCTCAGATAAGGTATTAAAATAGATAACATACTACAACTTTTAAAAACAAATATTTTAATTATTTATAATATATTTTTTATTAAATAGGATAAATTTTTATTATGTTTTTCTACTAAAAAAATGAAATTTGATTTATTTATACTGATCAACTGTATTGGCACGTGTGCCATATATATATACATGTAGTTACTCTTTCGATCATGAGGTAGTATTAAAGCTTAAGGCATTGATATGTTGTCGATTATATCTGTAAATCTTTAGAATTTTAACTTATATCAACTATAAAGAATATTTTATTAAAATATGATTGTTTATAGTAATTATTTTTCATTGGTGTATTGCTGATCACATCTGTAAGGGAGTTTGTATTTGACATTTAAGAACAATTACCAACCTTCATTCATTTTTTAAATCACATAAATGAATTGAGGATGAATCATCAAATTCTTTGACATGTAATTGTATACTTCAACGGATTCTGTTATATATATATATACCTATTGATTATTCTCAAAAATTAAATATGGTAGATGAAAATGAATGAATAAATTATAAAAATATAGAAATGATTTTTTAACAAAATCATAAAAAATTATATAAGGTCAAAGGAAACACGATCAAGAGAGAAATAAGATATTTTAAAATGCAAAGTATAATATGACTGAGTGATTTAACAACAGAAATTAATGAGTTTTTATAATATGAGAGAAAAAATGTCATTTGTATAAATTGAAATATCGCTCAACCATAAGACAACTACAAATTACTTTGATATTTCTCCACAGATAAGCCATTTTAAATATACAACTAATAACCATTTTTGGATTGTAAAATCTTAACAATTCAAACCAATCATTCTTTCAATCTCCCTTCGCTCCCCATCGTGAAACTATCCATTACACATCAACTCATTTGTTTCGCATGCTAAAAGACAATGA